TAGAGAATTTAATTAGTAATTTACTAAGAATTTACTGGGAATTTATTGAGAATATTCAAAGTAATTTACTTTATAATTTACTAAGAATTTTCTGGGAATTTACTATGCAATTTAATGAGAATTTACGGAGTAATTTACTGGGATGAGTGATTTACTCGGAATTTACTTAGTAATTTACTAGGTAATATTTTGTGTAATTTACTGAGAATTTAATCAGTAGTTCACTGAGATTTTATTGAGTAATTTACCGATAAATTATGAAAAATTTACTTCGAATTTTCTAAATAATTTACTGAGGATTTACTAGGAATTTACTAAGTAATTAATAGAGAATTTACTGAATAATTTATTGAGAATTTCTTCGGAATTTAACTAGTAATTTACTGAGGATTTACTAGGAATTTATTGGGAATTTTCTAAGTAATTTCCTTCATAATTTACTGAGAATTTTCTGGGATTTTACAAAGTAATTTATTGAAAATTTACTAAGTAATTTACCGAGTAATTTACTGAGAATTTACTGAGTGATTTACTCGGAATTTTCTAAGTAATTTACTTAAAAATTTACTGGGTAATGTTCGGAGTAATTTACTGAGAATTGAAGGAGTAATTTACTGAGATTTTATTGAGTAATTTATCGTTAAATTTTGAAAAATATACATCGAATTTTCTAAATAATTAACTGAGGATTTACTTGAAATTTACTGAGAATTTACTAGGAATTTATTGTGAATTTTCTAAGTAATTTACCTGATAATTTGCTGAGAATTTTCTGGGAATTTACTGAGTAATTTAATGAGAATTTACTCAGTAATTTACCGAGTAATTTTCTGGGAATTTACTAAATGATTTACTTGGAATTTACTGAGTAATTTACTTAGCAATTTACTGGGTAATGTTCGGAGTAATTTGCTGAGAATTCAATGAGTAATTTACTGAGATATTATTGAGTAATTTACCGTGAAATTATGAAAAATTTACTTCGAATTTTCTAAATAATTTACTGAGGATTTACTAGGAATTTACTGAGTAATTAATTGAGAATTTACTGAATAATTTACTGAGAATTACTTAAGAATTTAATTAGTAATTTACTTAGAATTTACTAAGTAATTTACTGAAAATTTACTGGAAATTTATTGAGAATTTTCTAAGTAATTTACTTTATAATTTACTAAGAATTTTCTGGGAATTTACTAAGCAATTTAATGAGAATTTACTGAGTAATTCATGAGTAATTTACTGGGAATTTACTGAGTGATTTACTCAGAATTTACTTTGTAATTTACTTAGCAATTTACTGGGTAATGTTCTGTGTAATTTACTGAGAATTTAATGAGTAATTTACTGAGAATTTATTGAGTAATTTACCGTTAAATTCTGAAAAATTTACTTCAAAATTTCTAAATAATTTTCTGTGGATTTACTAGGAATTTACTGAGTAATTAATTGAGAATTTACTGAATAATTTTCTGAGAAGTTCTTGGGCATATAACTAGTAATTTACTGAGAATTTACTAAGTAATTTACTGAGAATTTACTAGGAATTTATTGAGAATTTTCTAAGTAATTTATTTCATAATTTTCTGAGAATTTTCTAGAAATTTGCAGAGTAATTTAGTAAGTAATTTACTGGGAATTTACTGAGTGATTTACTCGGAATTTACTAAGTAATTTACTTAGCAATTTTCTAGGTAATGTTCGGAATAATTTACTGAGAATTCAATGAGTAATTAACTGAGATTTTGTTGAGTAATTTACCGTTAAATTATGAAAAATTTACTTCAAATTTTCTAAATAATTTACTGAGGATTTACTAGGAATTTATCGAGTAATTAATTGAGAATTTACTAAATAATTTACTGAGAATTTCTTGGGAATTTAACTAGTAATTTACTGAGAATTTACTAAGTAATTTACTGAGAGTTTACAAGGAATTTATTGTGAATTTTCGAAGTAATTTACTTGATAATTTAGTGATAATTTTCTGGGAATTTACTGAGGAATGTAATGAGAATTTACTCAGTGATTTACTGAGTAATTTACTGGGAATTTACTAAGTGATTTACTAAGAATTTACTGAGTAATTTACTTAGCAATTTACTGGGTAATGTTCGGAGTAATTTGCTGAGAATTCAATGAGTAATTTACCGTGAAATTATGAAAAATTTACTTCGAATTTTTGAAATAATTTACTGAGGATTTACTATGAATTTACTGAGTAATTAATTGAGAACTTACTGAATAATTTACTCAGAATTTCTTAAGAATTTAATTAGTAATTTACTAAGAATTTACTAGGTAATTTACGGAGAATTTACCGGGAATTTATTGAGAATTTTCTAAGTAATTTTCTTTAGAATTTACTACGAATTTTCTTGGAATTTACTAAGCAATTTAATGAGAATTTACTGAGAAATTAATCGAGTAATTTACGGGGAATTTGCTGAGTGATTTACTCGGAATTTACTTAGTAATTTACTTAGCAATTTACTGGATAATGTTCTGAGTAATTTACTGAGAATTTAATGAGTAATTTACTGAGATTTTATTGAGTAATTTACCGTTAAATTATGAAAAATTTACTTCGAATTTTCTAAATAATTTACTGAGGATTTACTAGGAATTTACTGAGTAATTAATTGAGAATTTACTGAATAATTTACCGAGAATTTACTAAGTAATTTACTGAGAATTTACTAGGAATTTATTGAGAATTTTCTAAGTAATTTACTTCATAATTTGCTGTGAATTTTCTAGGAATTTACTGAGTAATTTAATGAAAATTTACTGGTAATTTACCGAGTAATTTACTGGGAATTTACTGAGTGATTTACTCTGAATTTACTGAGTAATTTACTTAGCAATTTACTGGGTAATGTTCGGAGTAATTTGCTGAGAATTCAATGAGTAATTTACTGAGATTTTATTGAGTAATTTACCGTGAAATTATGAAAAATTTACTTCGAAGTTTCTAAATAATTTACTGAGGATTTACTATGAATTTACTGAGTAATTAATTGAGAATTTGCTGAATAATTTACTGAGAATTTCTTGAGAATTTAATTAGTAATTTACTAAGAATTTACTGGGAATTTATTGAGAATTTTCTAAGTAATTTACTTTATAATTTACTAAGAATTTTCTGGGAATTTACTAAGCAATTTAATGAGAATTTACTGAGTACTTTACCGAGTAATTTTCTAGGAATTTAATGAGTGATTTACTCAGAATTTAGTTAGTAATTTACATAGCAATTTATTAGGTAATATTCTGAGTAATTTACTGAGAATTTAATCAGTAGTTTACTGAGATTTTATTGAGTAATTTACCGTTAAATTATGAAAAATTTACTTCGAATTTTCTAAATAATTTACTGAGGATTTACTAGGAATTTACTAAGTAATTAATAGAGAATTTGCTGAATAATTTATTGAGAATTTCTTGGGAATTTAACTAGTAATTTATTGAGAATTTACTAGGAATTTATTGAGATTTTTCTAAGTAATTTCCTTCATAATTTAATGAGAATTTTCTGGGATTTTACAGAGTAATTTATTGAAAATTTATTAAGTAATTTACCGAGTAATTTACTGGGAATTTACTGAGTGATTTACTCGGAATTTTCTGAGTAATTTACTTAACAATTTACTGGGTAATGTTCAGAGTAATTTACTGAGAATTCAATGAGTAATATACTGAGATTTTATTGAGTAATTTACCGTTAAATTATGAAAAATTTACTTCGAATTTTCTAAATAATTTACTGAGGATTTACTTGGAATTTACTGAGTAATTAATTGAGAATTTACTGAGAATTTCTTTGGAATTTAACTAGTAATTTACTGAGAATTTACTAGGAATTTATTGTGAATTTTCTAAGAATTTACCTGATAATATACTGAGAATTTTCTGGAAATTTACTGAGTAATTTAATGAGAATTTACTCAGTAATTTACCGAGTAATTTACTGGGAATTTACTAAGTGATTTACTCGGAATTTACTGAGTAATTTACTTAGCAATTTACTGGGTAATGTTCGGAGTAATTTGCTGAGAATTCAATGAGTAATTTACTGAGATTTTATTGTGTACTTTACCGTTAAATTATGAAAAATTTACTTCGAATTTTCTAAATAATTTACTGAGGATTTACTATGAATTTACTAAGTAATTAATTGAGAATTTACTGAATAATTTACTGAGAATTTCTTGAGAATTTAATTAGTAATTTACTAAGAATTTACTGGGAATTTATTAAGAATTTTCTAAGTAATTTACTTTATAATTTACTAAGAATTTTCTGGGAATTTACTAAGCAATTTAATGAGAATTTACTAAGTAATTTACTCGAAATTTAATGAGTGATTTACTCGGAATTTACTTAGCAATTTACTGGGTAATATTCTGAGTAATTTACTGAGAATTTAATCAGTAGTTTACTGAGATTTTGTTGAGTAATTTACCGTTAAATTATGAAAAATTTACTTCAAATTTTCTAAATAATTTACTGAGGATTTACTTGCAATTTACTGAGTAATTAATTGAGAATTTGCTGAATAATTTACTAAGAATTTCTTGGGAATTTAACTAGTAATTTACTGAGAATTTACTAAGTAATTTACTGAGAATTTACTAGGAATTTATTGTGAATTTTCTCAGTAATTTACCTGATAATTTATTGGGAATTTTTTGGAAATTTACTGAGTAATTTAATGAGAATTTACTTAGTAATTTACCGAGTAATTTACTGGGAATTTACTAAGTGATTTACTCGAAATTTACTGAGTAATTTAAATAGCAATTTACTGGGTAATGTTCGGAGTAATTTGCTGAGAATTCAATGAGTGATTTACTGAGATTTTATTGAGTAATTTACTGTGAAATTACGAAAAATTTACTTCAAAATTTTTAAATAATTTACGAAGGATTTACTATGATTTTTTTTTTTTTTTTTGATCAGATGAAAAGAGGCAGGGAAACACAACCAAACAAAACAAACTAGGCCAGCCTTAATAAAGCCATAAGAGCCAGAGGGGGGAAAGATAGCCAGTCTAGAGGGAGGGCATTCCTAAGTGAAGCCTGGGCCACCCAATGCGCTGCTTTGTTTGCTGCTCTAGGACGCCAAGAGAGTGTCAAATTCAAATGCTGAGCAAGATGTTTGATGTCGAAAAAGATAGCACCACAATCCCAAGGAGGATCAAGTTCAGATACACTGAGGTGAATAACAGATTTGTTATCTCCTTCAATTTCCACTCCTGCTAGGTTGCGAGCAAGAGCTAATTGACAAGCTAACCGGCATGCGAGGGCCTCACCTTGGAGAGAAGAAGAACACACAATTTTCTTGACCACACCATCCAGCAACCTTCCATTCGAATCCCAGAGGATGGCAGCAATTGAAGCACAATCTGAGCCATTATGGATAGCCACATCACAATTTATTTTGAAATTTCCAGCAGCTGGACGTTTCCAATAATCTTCCCTTTGCTGAGGGCTTCTCAAACGGTGACTGTGATCAGTCCCTTGCGAGATGCTTCTAGCATCAAATTCCTTTTTTGCCAACCCTGCGCGATGCAATGTAGAGAGCGGATCAACTGGTTTTTGAGAGAAAACAAATTCATTGCGTTCTTTCCAAACAAACCAACCAATCCAAGCAATTGAGCTGAAGGAAAGATTACACTCCTTGCTGTCAGTGAAATTCTCCATCATCTGGCAAGACCACTTCAAAATTGATTGAGTCTCTGACCAAGAAACTTTGTAACCAAACTCACACCTGAACCACACCGGTCTTACCCAATCACACTCAAAAAGGAGATGCTCAACAGATTCCAGCTGCTTGTTGCAAATAGGGCAGTAACCAGACTCAGCACAATTCCGTTTGAACAAATTTTCCTTCGTAGCTAGCCCATTCTTGCACACTCTCCACCAGTGGCAAAACAAGGACTGCACGATCCGTAATCGATTAGTCAAAGGTACTGCGAAAGTTTATAGTCCTCCAACACAAGGGACTCGTGTTACTTAAGCCTGTAGCTCCTTTTAACACGATGGTCTTGTGTTACTTAGGCTTGTAGCCCGTTTTAACACGATAGTCTTTCCAAGAGAGGACCGTATCCTCTTATACTTAGTACTGCGAAATCTTTCCAAGAAAGGACCGTATCCTTTTATACTTAGTGCTGCGAAAGTTTAGAGTCTTCCAGCACAAGGGACTTTTACACTTGGTACTACGAAAGTTTAGAGTCCTCCAGTACAAGGGACTTTTACACTTGGTACTGCGAAAGTTTAGAGTCCTCCAGTACAAGGGACTTTTACACTTGGTACTGCGAAAGTTTAGAGTCCTCCAATACAAGGGACTTTTCAAGAATGACATCAAAACAAAGCCTATACTTGATACATCAAAACAGGGCTATTCATTCATGCTTAACAAATACTTTCGTCAAAACAAAGCAAAACAAGATTTCTCAAAACAGTATAACATAGCTTTATTAGAAATACCACTCACCTAGTTCTTCAGGTGCAGGCTCAAAGCAAAGATCAAGGTCCTACAATCACACGGCAATCACATTCTCAAAACAAGCTTTTCATGCATGCGAATGATCTCAGCATTCTCGCCAGATCCAAGTCAGTAACAAAGCAAAACATGCTGGGAGTTTAAACACCGCTCCCTTCTCATGGAAATACACTGGGTACCAACCAAGTCTTTGCCGAGGTCCTACAACTCCTTGCCGAGGTGTGGTCCGATGGCCTCATTCAAAACAAAGTCGGGGAAAACTTGGGTTCCCCTTTAAAGGACATGAAGAACAAGATCGTGAGGAAGATGAATGCAAAGATCATAACTTGTTACAGAATCCAGAGATTTCATGCCATGAGTTCAAAACAGGGACCTGGGTACCCATACAAGAAGGTCATGCAAGAACAAACACAAAAACATGGTTCTTGTTCCAAACTTTTGGATCAAAACGAGACTTTTCTTTAAAAACACATGAATACTATTTTTCTCTTCCAAAACCAACTTCAAAACGATGCATGACATGCAAAACAGATTCGATCATGCAATGCAGCTAGATGATCAATAAGAGCAACAAGAGTAGGTTAAGATTCTAACCTCAAAACTCGAACCCAACGGTTCAAACCTCGAAGATCAAGCTTGGAAGATCTATTCTCACTCAAGAACTTCTCCTCCTTCTCTCTAGAGCTTCTCTCTCTAAAGGCAAAGATTTGAGACAAAAATGATTTGTTTCTAAGTCTACCGGTTGTCTTAACAATCAGCTCGGACACGTGGCGCTATCGGGTTGGTTCAACTCAAAAGGTTATTGATTGATAAGACAAGTCTATGACAAAGCGTACGCAGCAAGCTGGGGTAAGGCACATCGGCAAGTAATGACATCGGCTCAAGTCAAAGCTTCGGCAACAGGGTAACAAAGACATCGGCTAGGGAGGACGACACTTGACTAAGCTGTGCCACACCTTGGCCGGGGTGTGCCACACCTCGGTCTAGGCCATACCTGCCCAAGGACAAGGATCACTAAGTGCTAAACATCTCGGCAACAAGCCCGAGGTGAAGGTGGGATCAACCAAAGGGTTTCAAAACCGTTCTAAGCACAAAGGTTCAAAGGTGAACTAAGCTCAAGATGACCTCGGCTACACGCCGAGCAAAGAACAAAAATCATGCAAGCAACACTTAAACAAAACAAGGCAAGGCAAAACTTTCAAAACAACTTAACAAGACAAAATCATACATGAACGTATGCAAGTATGACAAGAGTAAGGTGAGGGTTGCTACATTCTACCCCCCTTAAAGAAGTTTGGTCCCCAAACTTAAATTACCTTGCTCCTTCCATTCGACCTTTACCATTGGTATCGATTTGTTTCTCAACTGTCTCACTTGCATGTCAATAATCCTCATTGGCTTCTCCTCATAGCCCAAGTCCTCATTAACTGTAATCCCAGAATGATCAATTATGTGCAGTGGATCTCGGATGTACTTCCTCAACATAGAAACATGAAACACATTGTGGACTTGGCTTAAATCTGGCGGCAAAGCAAGTCTGTAGGCAACGGAGTTAACCTTGTCAAGGATTTCAAATGGACCAATATAACGAGGTGCTAACTTACCTTTCTTCCCAAATCTGGAAACTCCTTTCATTGGTGAAACTTTCAGGAATACATAATCCCCAACTTCGAATTCTAACTCATTCCTTCTATGGTCGGCGTAGCTCTTTTGTCGGCTCTGGGCAGTCTTAATTCTCTGTTGGATAAGTTTAATCTTCTCTGTTGTTACTTGAATCAATTCGGGACCAAGCAGAGCTCTGTCTCCAACTTCGGTCCAACATATCGGTGACCTACACTTTCTTCCGTACAAAGCTTCATACGGCGCCATGCCAATGCTAGCTTGATAACTGTTGTTGTAAGCGAATTCCACTAAGGGCAAATGCGTTCCCCAACTTCCTAGGAAGTCCAATACACAAAGTCTAAGCATATCTTCAAGTGTCTGAATTTTCCTCTCCGTCTGCCCATCCGTCTGGGGATGAAAAGTTGTACTAAATCTCAGCTCGACTCTGAAAGCCCTTTGTAGACTCTGCCAAAATCTAGAAACAAATTTAGGATCTCGGTCTGACACAATTGACATCGGCACTCCATGAAATCTAACAATCTCGTTCACATATAACAAGGCAAGCTGATCGGCGTTGAAGGTAGTCTTAACAGGTAAAAAGTGTGCTGACTTAGTTAATCTATCAATAACAACCCAAATCGAATCCATACCTTTCAGTGTCTTCGGCAAACCAATCACAAAATCCATGGAGATGTGTTCCCATTTCCACTCAGGAATCGGCAAAGGTTGAAGGAGTCCTGCCGGTCATTGATGTTCCGCTTTTACTTGTTGACAATGCAAACACTGGGACACGAATTCGGCTATTTCTCTTTTCATGTTTGGCCACCAGAACATCTGTTTCACATCCTGATACATCGTAGTGTTCCCTGGATGAACAGCAAACTTGGAATCGTGAGCTTCCTGCAAAATTCTCCTTTTCAACTCTGGGATGTCGGCCACGCATAACCTTCCTTCAAATTTAAGCACTTGATTTTCGATGGTATACCCTGATCTCGGCTTTGTGACAATCTCCTCGGCTACTTTCTTGAAGAATTTATCCTCCATCTGTCTTGTCTTTACCTCATCAACAATAGTCAGCTCTACTGCTATCATGGTCAAACACGCCAAATTTCCATCTGACTTTCTGCTCAAAGCGTCGGCTACACTGTTAGCTTTAACTGGGTGATATTGAATTTGCATATCATAGTCTTTCAACAACTCGAGCCACCTTCTCTGTCTCAAATTCAATTCCTTCTGAGTGAACAGGTACTTTAAACTCTTATGATCTATAAAAACCTGACAAGAAGCTCCGTACAAATAGTGACGCCAAATCTTCAAAGCAAATACAACGGGCTGCTAGCTCCAAATCATGGGTGGGATAGTTCCTCTCATGTGGCTATAACTGACGAGACGCATAAGCTATAACCTTACCCCCTTACATTAACACACAACCCAAGCCCTTATGTGAAGCATCGCTATAGATATGAAACTCTTCGTTACCTGATGGAAGTACGAGTACTGGTGCTGTAACTAGTCTCGTCTTCAGTTCCTGGAAAGCTGACTCCCGATCTTTAGTCCATTCATACAGTGTTCCTTCAATTTTGCTAGGATCAACCGAGATACCCTCTTCATTAATCACATGACCTAAGAATGAGATAGCAGGAAGCCAAAACTCACACTTGTTAAACTTAGCATACAATTTCCGGTCTCTCAAAATTTGTAAGGCAAGTCTCAAATGATTTTTATGTTCAGCTTTACTCTTGGAATAGATCAATATATCATCAATGAAGACAACTACAAACTCGTCTAAGTATGGCTTGAAGACTCTGTTCATTAAGTCCATAAATGCAGCAGGGGCATTGGTCACACCAAAAGGCATTACTAAAAACTCGTAGTGGCCATATCTCGTCCGAAAAGCAGTCTTCTCAACATCTTCGGCTTTAACTTTAAGTTGGTGGTAACCAGACCTAAGGTCAATCTTAGAAAAGACTCGTGCTCCTTGTAATTGATCAAGCAAATCATCAATCCTAGGTAATGGGTACTTATTCTTGATAGTGACTTTATTAAGTTCTCTATAATCAATACAAAGACGGAGTGTGCCATCCTTTTTCTTAACAAATAAAACAGGTGCTCCCCACGGTGAAGTGCTCGGCCTAATAAATCCCTCATCCAACAATTCTTGTAATTGCAGTTTCAATTCCCTAAGTTCAGCTGGGGCCATCCTATAGGGTGTTTTGGAGATCGGCTGTGTTCCCGACATGATGTCAACAGTAAACTCCATTTCTCTATCGGCTAAGTGGCCAGGCAATTCGTTCGGAAAGACGTCGGGGAATTCATTAACAACTGGGATGTCGGCTAAAGTAACATTTCCATTGTGGTCACTCAGTATACTACTCAAGTAGCCTCGACACCCTTTCTGAATTAACTTATAGGCTTTAATGGATGAAATTAAGTAAGGTGGGGGCACTACCCCTTTACCCTGGAAAAACCTCGGCTAGGTTTAGGGGTCTCAGTGTGACACTTTTCGAAACACAATTAATAGATGCATGATTCGCGACTAACCAATCCATTCCCAATATAACATCAAAATGAGTTATGTCCAGAGGCATTAAATCTACTAACAATTTTAATGGACGAAATCAAGTAAGGTGGGGGCACTATCCCTTTACCCTGGAAAATAACCTCGGCTAGGTTTGGGGGTCTCAGTGTGACACTTTTCGAAACTCAATTAATAGATGCATGATTCGCGACTAACCAATCCATTCCCAGTATAACGTCAAAATGAGTTATGTCCAGAGGCATTAAATCTACTAACAATTCAACATTCCCAATCACAACAACACATGCTCTATAAATGGATGCAACAATCATAGGTCTCCCAGATGGAGTAGACACAGATAATACATAATCAAGGGGTTCTAGTTCTCTATTAATCTTCTCGGCAAACTTAGCAGATACAAACGAATGCATAGAACCCAAATCAATCAACACATAGGCATTTTGGGAGCAAATTAGGAGTATACCTGACACCACTGTCTCAGCATTCTGAGTGTCCCCTGGCACTAGTGCAAATACTCTGCCCTATCTCATCTGCCCTTTTCCAACATTACCCTTCTGAACGGAACCCGAGGTATTCTCACCTTTCTTGTTGTTATCAGCCTTTGTCTTAGGGCAATCTTTCACATAATGACCCACTTCGCCACATTCATAACAAGCTCCAGACGTCCGACGATAGACCCCGAAATGTTGCTTCCCACAATCCGAACATGTCGGCCTAGCACTACCCTCTCGCCTTAGGTTACCAGCACTGCCCATGTTCGTCTTCTTCTTGGTTCCCAGCTGTCCTCGGCGATTGTCATAGTTCTGTCTCTTTCGCTGGTTCTCCCCCGAACTCTGGTAGCGATTCAGGTTAGCTTCGGCCTGAATGGCTTTGTCCAACACTTCAGCGTAAGTCGGCATATTATGCAAGTTAACCCGGTCTTGAATCGGTCCGCGGAGCCCACTCTCGAACTTCTTGGCCTTCATGTATTCATCATTGGCCATGTGAGGTACAAACCTCGCCAATTCAGTAAAAGCGCGGTCGTATTCCGCCACTGTTCGGTTGCCTTGTGTCAAAGTATGAAATTCGGTAGCCTTGCGGTTTCGAACACTTAGGGGAAAGTGTTTGTTGTAGAACAACTCTAAGAATCGGGTCTAGGTCAGATATGGATTGCTTTCTCGAACCATCATCCACCATCTGCGAGCGTCATCATCTAAGGTGAATGCTGCCAAAGTCACCTTCTGAGCGTCGGTGCTAGGAAAGATCTCGAACAACTTTTCCATTTCCAAAACCCACGCCTCAGCCTTCATTGGCTCTATACCCCCAGAGAATCTTGATGGTTTCATTTTCTTGAACTCCCTGATCAAAGCTATCGTGCCATCCCCATATAAGGCTGGCTACGGAGGAACTTGCGGCACTGGAGGAGGTGGAGGCGGCACTACATTTCGGCCGTTGGTTTGCTCGGCCTGAGTCGACGTAGCACTAGCGTACTGCTGTCTTGTTTGCCTCAACTCGCGGGCCAAACCTTCAACTAATCTTTCCAGTCTGTCTATTCTGTCTTCGGGCTGATCCCAGCCAGTTGGAGGTCTACCTCTTCTCATGATGCTATGAGCATGCAAAGTGTGACTTTAAAACAAATAAGCAAACAACCACGTAGACAAGTAACAAATAGGCATGTCAAGACAATGCACACCTCGTTCAAATAGCAAGCACCATGATGCAATCCTAACATCTTTCTAAGGGAAATCCTATGCTCTTTAGGACTCAAAGTGTGTGAATAACGTATACTGAGGAACTTGTGCTCTGATACCATTCTGTCACGACCCCAAACCGCCCCTAGTAGTTTGGTGCCGTGATGGCCAGTAATCCGTAATTACCGAAGGCCAACTTTTAAAAGTTTAACACAATCAGAGTATGGATATAGGGGCTCACAAATGCGGAAGCAATAAATCAAAATACAAGTAGTCCATAAGAGTTGTGCATAAGTCCAATGATATGGCATACATCTTTACAACTTGAATACAATAAAGTAAAATACGTATTACATCTTGATCAAAAGGCTTCTCGAGCCGTCATATACAAAATATAGTGAATACAAGCCAAGAAGCATGATTTTCAAGATTCGCTGACGTAAAAGAAATAACATTACCGACGTGAATACAAAACAAAGCCGACATAATCGTGGGTCCAAAACAAGCTTTCAAAAACACATTCTAGGCGTCGCCGACGTCCTGCTCATCACCTACATATATATAGAGAGGGTGAACTTGGATACTCAGTGAATGGTACAAATAATAAAGGTTTTGCATGAATATAGCTGAAGTCTTTCAAAACAAAACATGCTAAAACCATACGAATATTAGCC